CAAATAAAATTGTTAAATTCCATTTCTTAATATTGATATTAAGAAATTATATATTATATATTATATTTATATTCTCTCCATATGAGAGAATATAAATATAAATATAAAAAGAAATTTCGCAAATTTATTTACTATTTTTCCATTATGATTGATACTTGCAATTAGTCTTTATAATTTTATAAAATTTCAAGAAATCAAAGTATTTGTAATATTATGATAAATTATTGTTCAGTCTAGATTATACATCGTTCAAAGATATCGACCAAGAATGGGAATGAAAAATTGCAAATCGTAATATAGATTAAACGAAACGAAGTGAGCGAACAGGTATTCAATACACGGAATCGGAAAATCGCTGCATAATTAATAGTCAATGTCAATCTTCACGAGAATCTGAAGTTACTGATCGATATTTACGAATGACTCCTATGTATCATTAAAAATTCATCTTACTCCACCCTTGCTTTCCAATTCATAATATACAAAAGTTGAGAATATTTGTCTAACGAAGATTAGTGAGATTATTTACATAGTATACAAAAGTTAAAATTATTTATGCTTCTGAACATTAAAATATCAGTTTCATTAAAATACGAATTATAGTACGAACTATAAGTACTATTAAATGCTATATTATGAATTATTTATATGTACTTCTACGTAAAGAATACAAAAAAATTATTGTATTTAATATATATTCTCACAATTGTCAATCTTCTTACTAGTATGTAACATATCATGTCAGATGTAAAATGTTGAAACCTTTTACATGATTTAATATGATTTGTATTTAAATATGTTTATTTATATGTATTTTTAATTTAAAGTGGTTTCCGAATTTGTCTCATAAGAGTATAATTTGTCTTTCTTTCAAATTAGGAGTTAAAACAGCCCTAAAGTACTTGAGATCAAAAAATCAAAACAACCATAGAAAATAAGGATCATACAATTGTGAACATAAAGAATTAAATTCCTTATTATTTTCAAAAATTTGATCAATTTCTAAATCCCTAACTCTTGCTTGTATTCATTCATAAAATATCAAATTTAAAAAAAATAGTTCTACTACTGGAAACTTACTTGGAAGTCTTGCAAATCTAATTTCTTTAAGCCATTCGTCCAACATTCGCATCTAAAGGTGAAAATTTAAAACAACTTTAAATCGCGATATAGTAATTAACTATTCAGCTAACTATTCATTTCTGTTGATAAGCGAATTGATCGGTCAACTTCCTTGCTATGTGATATCACTTTTTAATTACTTTCCTTGTTTAATTGAATAGTCGACCAAGCCTATCCTTAAAAAGAAATATTCAGAGTGTTCATGGCTAGCTGAATAGTCAGCTGTCTCTCTATGTAATATCGAATTTGTTTTAATTACAATAAAATCTCGTTTATTCAAACAATGTTGAAAGAGTTCGAATAATAGGGTTTCCTTCCTATGATCATATGGAAAAATGTCTCATGCTTTTTTGAGATATTATCATTTAAACAATACTAGTTCTTTTTATTATTAACAATATCTCCTTGTTTTCTTTGCCTTTGAGCATTTATTTTCATGCATTTTTTTGCCGTAATATATAAATATATAAATCTTGTACTGTAAAATGTAATTAATACATAAACGAAAATTTTTTGAAATTATCACATGCGGCGTTTTTCCTTACCATCTACAAATCTGTGCAAATTGTTCTTCCAAATCTCCTTAAAAAGTATCTTTTTATCTAAAAATCTATTTTCTCTTATTTTCCTTCAATCGTCTAAGACACGTCACATTTTCTTTAATCATGCACCATAAAGAAGAATCCTGAGAAGATGTCACGTTTTATCTTAAAAATGACAATTTGTATATATGTACGTCTATGAAAAATATTGTTTCCTTACTATTGTATTTACGTCATTCTCCTTGTCATTTGTTGAAAAACAAGTATAGTAGATATACTCAATTAATAGAAGTTAATCGAGTCAACGAGTTCGTACATCTGACAATGATATGCCCAGTTCGTATGAACAAATTTTTACTGTACTTTGTTTCCTCAGTCAGCTGAATAATTGATACCGCTACATAAATGTACTTTTTTTTTTTTTTTTTTATTCTAAGAAACTCTAATCGCATACATCCCGGCGAGTCGCAGCGTAATCGATACTTACGATTATGACGTCGCGTAACCCGCGGCGACCCATAACGTCCACCCTTAAACATGCACGTTCTCGAGAAATCGCGTCGAGATGACAACAAGTGCCTCGAGTATGCTCGAGGCCGGCGATCCTGGCATTGACACTCCATCGCTGGATGCACCGTGTATTATTTAACATGCGAAAAATCAATGGCGTCTTATGGATTGGCCGGACGGTGGTTTCCCGCGGTGGTAGCCCGTCGTATTTCCGCGATGGCGACGCACTTGACCGTGGCTACTCGACCAATATGCGCGTAAAGTCATCGCTGATACAAATTATAAGATAAATAAAGAATAGGGAGACGGAATGTCGCGTTTTAGGCGTTTGTTTAAGTGTTCCCTGCCAAAGTGTAATTTTCACTTTCTAGCGATGGAGAAGCCCGAGTCCTCCACCGGCGATGAGAGCAATGTCGAACTTGAGGACCGGGACCCTAACAGCTTAAATAAGCATCTACAGGTATGTTATTATTACAATAAAATTTATTATATTGTTCCAGTCTCGTAATACGATAAGATCTTTATTAGTAGAACATCAGTTAAAAGAATAAGAATATGAATAAGAACTTGAATGTGAAGAAGATTAAGAAATAAGAAACTGAGATTGTTATATCTTTATTTAGCGATTTAGTAGTGATGCGTTAAATAAAATGCAGCCATTTATTTCGTAAAAGAAATTCATTTAGTAAAGAGACAGAACCTGTTTGTTTCAAAACTTGTTTCAATCTCTGGTGTAGTAACCAAATTATGGTTGAAGTCATCATTAAAAAAAAAAAAAAAGAAGTATCTCTATCTAAATCAAGTATGATATTTTGTACTACATATGTCATCATTAAAAAATAAATTTAAATCTAAATCTTACGTTATATGTATATTAAATATTATATTTATATAACTAAAAAATTATTTTATAAAAATATTTATTTTTTTTCTATTATTATAGATAATATAAGAATTATAAAACTAATAATTCTGATGCATACTCCTTTGTTCGTTCACCGGAGAAATATTCAAATATTTTATATTTTTTTACATGTTCGCTTTTGAATTTATTATAAATACAGAAGTCGACAGTTTAGATCTAGTGCAGTACTATCGATTGAATCCACTTGTTTGAATGTGAATAGGGAGTATATTAGAAAGTAGGGACGCATTTACTTTGACGCTAATGACACTATAAGCGTCAAGCTTCGAAACATACAAAAGTACTTATTTGAAAAATGATTCAACAAGAATTGCATAGGATATACTTGTGCTCAAAGATCGGAATAAAAATTTTAGCCTGACTAAAACGAAGTTCGTCGAATCGATATATTTTTAGTAATATTTACTACTACTTGCAAAACAAAGGAAATTTTCAAATTGGTGTCAATAACAAAAAATAAATATAGTAGAACTATATTCGAGAAACGAATTTTTAGTGATTCTATCAATTGAAAATGATCTAGCTAGATCGTTGTCGTATAAACAATTTACCCATACGAAAGTTAATACTCGTTTACATTCTTACAATTACTGACTATATACTTTCTTATTATATTCTTTATATTAGTATGTAAATTTTTGTAATAAAGATATTGTAAAATTAATTGTTATTTGCTTCAGCTCATAAATCTCAAAATTAAATGAGATTCCAATGACTATTAGCTACAGTCTTCACAAGAATTAGATCTGCTACTGCCTGGAATTATGTAAATACGTCAAGAAAATTGGATTTCAATTATCTACATGCACTATTTATCTTCGAATAAGT